CTCGTCTCGGAGCAGATGAATGCAATCTCCCTGCCTCCGCTGTTGTCGACAACTGACCAAACGCGACCTTTCCCAGTTAATTAATTGGGCGAGCGGCTCACTAAGAGCAACGTTAAATTTCATGCTTTAATTTAACGACAAGCGTCCGCGCCGCATCTATCGTAATTTGAAAGCCGTGGGTGTGACGGAGTGCTCGAGCTCCGAGGCCCGGAGCGCCGCCACCACTTATTTTAACAACACTCCAATTATGGGATGGCCGGGCCCTTCTGCCTTTTCATCCCCCCTGGATGGAGCAAACAAGGGTTTCCATTTCACCGCTGCACCTGTAAGAGCAACGCTGGCTGGTGAGCGGATGACTTAATTGTTCACTCCTGTGTCTTGGAAAACCAAAGATTTGTGGCTCCTCCGTTTCCAGGAAACGCTGGATGTCCACAGGCAGACAGCAAATAGCTTACTGTCTAAAGAGCCCAATGCTCCTGTCAAAGCCCATTTGCAACTAGACGGCATCCGCAGCTGTTATGAAATCTACTTCATAAATCTATACGGCGCTTCATTTCCATGCTACTCTCGGCAGACACATCTAGGACTCCACGCCACCCGCCTCGCCGCGGTTTAGATCCAATTTGAAACAGCTCCCTCTAGGCTATTCTGGCGGAGTCTCTTTCTTCCCTGGAAGAGCCCGGCGCTCCGTTAAGGCCATGTGATGTTCCACAGACAGTCGGAAGTGTCACTTGTGCTGCGTTATCCTTCCCTCTCCTCCGCCGGAGCTGAACCACAGTGGCAGGCATGACTCACTGAAGTGCTGTACTTTCTAATGACACGAGAGCGGAGGCTGAGTCAATCTGACCTGACAGTCTTGCATAAATCACGGCCCTTCGATTTAAGTTGCTTTGAGGAGTGTCAACAGATCCGCGGGAGGAATATTAGACGCCGCTGTAGGTAGGGACTCCGCCTCTGGGAGCTCGTTACGGGGTGTCTCCCCTTCATGCCGCTTCGACGCGTCCGCCGACTAAATTTCGTGACCAAGCGCCCACCAGCACCCCCAAGAACATTTTAATGGGCGAGCTTTTCGGAGGAGAACTTGAAACGCAGGTGAAACTGGAGCCTGCAGAGAGGTGCAGCAATAAAGGCCGTTAACTGATAATGCAGCTTTTATTCCTTTTGTTTACGGCCTTTGGAGGAGCCGATGAGACGGCGGCGTGGAGAGCGCCACTACACAGCGCTTAGCTTCTAATCTCGCCATTAATCACTCCACTTGAAAGTGTTCGACAACAAAAGGCTGTTTTCTTGTTGTTGTTGTTTTGTTTTCCCTCCCACTTTGAAATCAAAGTAGTTATAAGTATTTTCTTCTTTCCCTGGACAAACACGAGAGGCCTTCGAGCCCCGAGTCTGCGGATTCAAACCATCGGGAGGCGAATAACTCGACAAGAGGATCACGCGTTCAGCATTAACAAGTTTCGGCGTACGAGAGTAAACACGAGCGGCGCTTTCTGTTTTCTTGTTGCGTCGCTGCTTTCCTCATCCGGAACCATCTTTCCTGCCACACCGGCTCCAGTTGACTCCCGTTCATTTAAATAATGCACGGCTATTAGTTATATTAAAGACAGGCGGCGTTTCAGCGCAGCAAACTTTTATAGCTCCGGGCACTTATCTGCGATATTGGCAGCCACTCAAGGAAAGAAAAAAAAAGAAGAAGAAGAAAAAAAAAAGAAGAGAGGGAGCAATTTAATCAAACGTGAGAGATCTAAACACCAGGGAGGCTGGATGTAAGATGGTTTCTGATCAAGAAGCTGGAAAGAGAAGTGTGCGATTCTGTTTCCATTATCGGAGAGGAACTGCAGCGCCGGCGCTCTGCTACTCGGGGGCATGGGAGGGAGAGCTATAGAAAGCCGTTGGTTTATGTGTCTGTCAATGTCACGTCTTTTCAGGATCACGGTTCAAGGCGAACAGCAAGGATAAAGGGGGGGCAGGGAGGGGAACTGGTACATTGCTGAGAGGGTGCTGGTAGGTCAAAGGACCTTCAGCTGAGTTGACGCTGGTGGATATTGTGCTCTTCAGTGATTTGAAGGATGGAAAATAACACGGAGTGTATGATGCCAATGGGCCGGGGAAAGAAACGCAACGGAGCAAAGGATAGGTTTCTGCACAACAGGCCGAGAGAATCGGGCTAACCGCGTACATGGTGCAAGAACTGGACTCTACTTGCAAGTACTGCTATTGCTTTACTATTTCATGCCTGTGCTCTGGATATTTAAGCCTTAAATGATTCAGTTTTGTGCAGTTAACTTGCTTGTAAAACCACATACTGGATAGATGTGCAGCGAGCTAATTTAGCTAACATTAGCTCCATGAGTTGACTGAAAATGCAATACACTGTAAATACAATACCAACATGTGGACTACCATTTAAAGGCCTTGAGTTTGGAATCTGGCCGTCGCCATCTTGGTCTTTTGCGACCTTTCAAGCACAAAGTAGCTAAAACCTACGCTGCTTCATTGCTCATTTTATTCTAAATGGGATCATCATTTACAAAACAAACATCACGCTGTATTCAAAATAGCCTGAATTTAGCAACTGAGAAAGAAAAGCAACAGAGTACGACAGAGGTTTCTGCACAAAAGATGACAAAAACATGCTGTAAGAATTGGATAAAACCCGCAAGTACTGCTGTAGTTTTACTATTTTTGCCTGTATTACAGCTATTAATGTCTAAAACTGTTTAGTTTTGTGTGCATAGAGCTAATTAAGCTAACATTGGTGCCATGAGTTGATTGAAAATGCTGTTTCTTGCCCACAGACTGTAGCTACAAAGACCATCCTGATCTTTTAAAACTGGACCGAATGACCGGTGGATCTGAGAACTTGAGGACACTGTGCACAGTGATAAAGAAGCCCCACCCTAAAGCACGCCGGCTTTATTTCTTATTTTACTCTAAATGGGACTAAAATTAATAAAATAAACACCAAACTTTTTGAAAGTGGTGATTGAAATCAAAATCACATGTGGAAAATGTTTCCTGAGGTAACAAATCAAGTAAAAGGAGGGTCGTTATCTCATAGACGTTAATACAACCTGACTTTTTCTTTGCAACCAGAGAAATCGCCCCCTGCTGGTCATTAGAAAAACACTGAACAGTGGCTTCACTTTTTTAAACTACATTAAGCTACATTAATCTTTTATAGACAGTCTATAGTCTGGCTCACTTTAACAGTTAGCAGCTGATATATTTCAAACTAAGAAGACGTAAAAAATGTTTTTAATGTGCAACTGATGTCTTCGTACATCACAACATTCAAAAGCTAGATGTCCTAGACACAGAGTTAGCGGCTGACAACATCAACGATATGAAAATAAAGAAGCTGTTTTGTTCTTTTATTGTAAAGAAGAGCAAATTTTATGGGGCTGATGTCGACAAAAAATCATCTAAGATCATTGGTTCATTCATGTTTGGCTGTTTGAACCAGAAAGACATGTTTTACTTCGAAAAGTCATAAAACCAAGACTAACTAATGTGTTTAGTGAATCTAGTGCTAGCTCAGAGATTGGTGGTTTCCTGCGTTAAACATCTCCCAAAAAGAACATTAAAAGAGCTGCTAGCATTTGCCAAAATTATATTAGCATTCAGCACTAGCTTCTACACACTGAGGAACTACTGTACAGCTCATGTTTGACTGCGATCAGCTTCTTTACTGTAACCTGTAATTCACAACATAATTAGCGAATGATGAGGCTGAATATGTAGAAATCCTTCAAAGCCTATTAAGGTTACTTGTACTGGACCTTTACTGCGAGTTGACTCAGACATAAAACTTGTCTTTTACGCTTCATGAAGACAGATAACATCGTCGACGCCAGCTTCGTGTCCCCACATCATAAAGTGAAACCATCTCGCCAGCAATGTGCACCGCCGTTATCTAACGCTGTCAGCAGTAAAAACACTGAGGCTTTTCTGGCTTACGTAGAGGAGCTGCATCTTTGCTTTTTCAGATTTTTCTCTCTCTCTCTTTCTTTTTTTTTTTGCCTTCCTTCCTAAATGGCAAACTAAGCAAACAAATCACGCTGGTGTATGAGGGCATGGGAAAACCACTGATTCCAAGGATGTCTGAAAAATGTATTTGCAGTGCAGATCTCATGGTGCAGATCTCAGATAATTTTCTTTCAAAACTGCAACCACCCACAGGCTTCTAAAGCTCCAGCTGGCAAGCAATCCTGAGGAGAACAGATTCTCCCCCAGCAGGGGCCATAGGGATGCAGCAGGAGAGAGTAAAAGAAGCTCATTCTGTTGATTAAATTTAGTTGATTTAGCTGCTTGGCTTCTCCGGGGTGACTTGGAGCTCACAAATTATCAACCTTAAATGGTGGATCTTTACTGAGATGGTTCACATTGGTTACAGATAGACTTGGTTTCGGTACAGTTGGGAGAAACGCGATGGATTCCAGCCCCCGGTTAGCATATTGATTTCGTGCCGGCTCTTTACACCTGTTTCACTTCTCTATCCAGCGAGTTTCGTGTCGACCTGCAGAATACAGGTAACGCTCGGGCAATTCCCTTCCATTGCTTCCATTGTTGGGTGTCGACGTAACTATTAAAACCTTTGATGTTTCGTTAGAAGACTGCCACAGCCTTGAAATTGTAGTTTTCTCTCGTTATAGTGTGGTTTTGTAGTTAACCACGCACTTGAGGACTAGTTTCCACATCAGTGTCGGACAAAATAAGCCTATAAATCTATTAGGACGCTGCCTGAAATGTATAGTAGGGTGCACAAGCTCTACAAAAAAACCTGTATTCTCTACATGCATGTCAGAAAGTGTATCATAGATCAGCTGCAGTGCCTGTTTGCTCCACCAGGTGGCGCTTCTTAGTGGTAACTTGGAGTACGAGTTTCGCTTTTGGTAAGTAGACACCATTTTTGGAGTTTAGCTAGAAACTGGCACCAAGACAAAGCTTCCCGTGACGCTTAATGACAAAAAAAAAAGTAAAAATCAGACGGTACTTACTCGTATACTTGGAGCTTGTAACACTGGCTGTTCAAAAACAGAAACTCCCAATCCGTCCCGTAGTCTATGGCCAGCTTCTTCCGCAGATCACTGAGGAAACCAGAACACACGAGTGATTAGGAGCATAGTTTAGTCACAACTATTTTAGCTAATATTTAAAAGTTCCACCAAAGAGATGCTTTAAACAGTCGGTTTTCTGGTTCTGTGCAGCACAACGGAGCACATATGCTCTTCGCCACCTACCAAGCTGCTTTATTAACTTCTGGGTGACTCAGAACTGTGCTGACAGTGTAGTTTTATTTGCTTCTGTTAGTGACTGACTTGGAGGCTCCAGTGTGTTGATGAGGTGGCCCTCTAAAGCCCATTTCTATGCAGCGTCTCCAATTATCTGAGCCGGTGAGGGCTGCTCTTCTTCACTAATCGCAAATAAGGCAAGTGAGCCCTATCTCTAACAGCGCACAGGCCCTCATTTCCATATTCATAACCCAGAATTGCTAATGGGGTTAACAAATGTTTAGGGAGGGTGATTGTTCCGCTCGAGGTTGATAAGGCGGGGTGGTGTAGGGGGATGATTCGGGGTCAAAAAAGCGATGCGGGGTTGCGTAACCGGGTGTGCATGTGATTCTCGGCGGGGCAGGGGTCGCGGCGTTCATGCACGGAGTCAATTTTGGTGGAAATTGCTCTTTACAGCATAAAATGTATGGACTAATAAGGAGGAACGGGAGGGATAATTGAAGACAGAAATGCACCAACACACTAATATCTACATGCTGATAAAGCCTGGAGAGGGAACATGGGGGAGGAGAGCCATATCTTGTGCTCCGACACAAATGATAGTGAGTAATTTGACCAGGAGCAATTAAAGCAAGGTGGGCAATGAAGAAATGGAGCGAGTGAAGCCATGCCAGCTCCTTTTCCTTCGTTTCCCTGTTGTCTGAGGGAAGAAAAACCGTGACCTTTTGGTAAGTGCCATCTCTGTAGTCGGCCCTTCTTTCTCCATGTTGTAATGAACGGTTTGTAGGCCCGAGGGCCGCAGAAACTGGCTCTGTCAGGACCTCGGAAAGGCAGCGTTGAGCAGGAACCCACATCCAAACAGTGTTTTCTTTCAGCTGTTGTGAAAATGTTGCAGGATCGGGATGATCAGGTTGTTGTTTATTTGCCCCCTATTTAATCAACGTCTTTTAATATTTAGCGACACCAAGTCCCCATGGTGATACCAGTGATCTAGATAATCTACACTTCAAGTATATTAAAACCAATCCACTATATGCTTGACAGGACAAAAAATGCATCCAAATTGTTTCAGAGGGCGACATAGTTGGTCAGAAACCTTGTTGTGAAGCTTCAGTAGGCCATCATCTGTAAATTATTGTGAGAAGATGCACTGGGGGTTCACAAGCTCCATATTTTCTACATGCATGTTGGAAAATGTGCTGTTGATTAGCTGTAGTACCTGGTTGCACCACCAGGTGTATGTTTGCAAGCAGAGAGCATTGTGGGGGTTTTTAGCTTGTAACTGTCCACCATGTCAAAGATTCATGTGGCCGTTAATGACCTCCAGAATGAACCCATATGTTTAAAACAAGCTAAGATCAACTGGGACAAGTTTTGTGTTAGCAAGCGCAGAGCATTGTGGGGGTTTAGCTAGCAACGAGCACAACGACAAAGCTTTCTGTGATGCTTAATCCCCATCGGACAGAGCTTATGTGTTCAGGACAAACTGAGATCAAACTAGCATAACAGAACTGCCTTTGTAGCCCAGGTTATGTGTCCACTGACTACTCAATTTGTGTGGCCAATGAATTTATTATTGATTATTGCCCCTTTTCTACCCCAGTTTGACAACCGACGCAAATGAAGGACTGGGCTCAGGTTAAAGCCGATTCTGATCATGAACAGGACACCCCTTGTGTGAGTTTGTAATATGAATCGAAGGTCGAAACGAATGCCAGAGAATCAAACATCTTAATATTTATCTCTCTGAGGCTGAAATGTTTTCTGGACAGAAATCTAATAATATAAAGTATGCGGGTAATTTGTTGTTGACGGGGTCACTCTGCTCATTAATACAAGATGCTTGCCACGCTAATTTGTGCCTTTCAAAATGTCAAAGAATGTTGATAACTCATACCCAGGTTGGCATTTTTCTGCTCAGAGTAAGTTGGAAGAAGACACAGTAGGCAACCAATTTGTTTTTCCCTTCATTAGAATTAGGTATCACACAGTGCAGAGTCGCTCCTGTGCAGCAGCTTTCTATACCACTTTAGCACAGAAGGATGGAGTCTATTTTAAGGCCTGGTTAAATACCAACGTGAGAAGCAAACGCTGCATCCACGCGAAGTGCAAAATGTTGAGGATTGAGCTGCAAACATGTGACAATGGAGGCCAAGCCATGCCTCTGCTTCTTTATTTTTCCCTTACCTTATTTCCATGTTGACTGTCTCGTAGGCTTCTTCTACCTTCTTCAGATTGGTAGCCTCCCACTCTGCAGCTAGACAAAACAAAAGGTCAGACAAATTAGCAATGCATAGTTGTTGCATCTCAGCAGCTGCGTGTTGCCAAACAGTGGGCTCTCGATATAGGCTGGTATATCTAGGACTGTGAGAGGAGCAAGGCTGCGTATAAACAGAAAAATGCTATTTTCAGGTGTGGTAAGTGCCGAAAGGCAGGCTTATTAGTCTCCTCACACTGACAATTGTGTTAACCCAGACTGAGGGAGAAAATAAGTCGGAGGGAGTGTGAGAGCAGCAGAGGTGGCCGCAGAGATTATATGTTTCCCTCGTCGTCGCACTCGTATGTTTAATGTATGACAGGACAGATGGAAAGACCATCAAATGACAGCACGATGTAAACACTGTGTCTGCATGCTGCACGATGCAGGCTGTAGATTACAACATGCATCATGAAAGCAGTTGATGCGTCTGTCCAACGTGGCTCAGCAAGTTTCAAACAACACATATGATGGTGGACACGTTAGCTAACACATCATGTTTCTGACCACTTAGTAGAAGCTCAGACAGAAATTCATTCCCCTCTCAACTCTGCTTTGGTTTCTACCAAACTGTACGTGGCCCATTAGCGGCTAAATGCTACACGATCCCAAACGTGGTGGTTTTTAGCGAACAAAAGCCTCGTTTCTAGAAGAAGGGTTTAAAAGAAAAGGTTTGAAAGAGATTAAGATGCATCAGTCAGGTGATAATTCACTGTGAGGTTCTTCTCTGCAAGTCATTTATTATGTTTAAACTTTTTTATATGAAACAGTAAAGCAGGTTGTAGCATGTTTGGGTTAAGCTGCATTACTTCACATGGCAGTAGTCGATGCTGCAATTAGACATGGACAGTGTTTCAGTCCCATGTGGATGTTTGTTTGTTGTTTTGAAAATGGTCACAACATCCACAAATCAGGCCAACTTCAACTACAAGTGTAAATAAAACAGTGACAGAAACTTGCTCCAACACGTTTCTTTGTTATAAAATAAGACGTCCGATTCATCCTTTGTGCATCTATTTAACGGAGGAGCAGCAAAAGCACAGGAGGAGGATTTCGGGAGTCGACCTCGGCGTCTCTCGGCCGGAACCCTGAAGGCAGACAGGAACGAGATGTGCAAAGAGGCTGAAAGGACTCGGGTTTAGCTGATGAGTGCTGACGGACAGGCGGAGTTAGCGGGCTTTCTGGAAGTGGACAGGTTCGCCTCTGACGTCGAAGAAACTCTCGGCGGCGTCCGGCGCCGTGGCAACGGAAAAGAATGTGCAAAGGGCTGCGTGGGAAGCTGTGACAGCTCTGGCCTGAATACCAATTAGCATGTTCCTTGCATGTGGTCTCAGCTGGTTGCCCATAAAGAACCCCCCCCAACAATTCCCCCAGTACCTATTTCTTGCCCAACCTAATACAGATGTGCTACGTCCAAGAGGCAAGCAGTGATTTTTTCCATTCTGCAGCGGCTATTTTTAAAGCTCCGAGACGGGGAGATTTCTCCTTAACCCACCCCCAAACCCCTCAAAATCAGTCTTTTCACACAAGAGCGCTCTCTCCAGCCCCGTCTCACATTCCCTCTCCTGTCCTCGTTCTCTCCGGCGCCGCACACACCAATCACCGGGCTCAGCAATGACAAAAGGAGACGCAGGATCCCGAGCGGGTGACATTTGACCCGGTTGTACACGGAGAACGTGGCGAGGCTGAGAAGAAGAAAGGCTCCGGGAGAAGCAGCCAGGCGTGCACAAGCACCCGGAGCAGGGAACACAGGGCCAGCCGAGCCGAGCCGCACCAGCCGGGCCCGACGTAACCCGAGGCCGCCGCGCAGCACGCACCGAAAAGACCTCACGGTTCTGGTCTAATAACTGCGAGGATTAGACTACGGGTCGCGTGGTCGGTGGACGTCGTGAATTAGCCGATCTGCTCCGTCGTTACGTAATAATCAGACGTCCTTATGTAGTCTTAAGATTCAGAGCAGATTTTGTTCTTTAATCATCCAAACTAATCCTCGTTAGCATCACACAGGCGTCATAAAGGAGAGCCCGAATCATGGCAGCATGCTGAGGATGTACCATTTGGATAATATTCTTATAATAATCAGCAGCGCGGGCTAATGGAACCATGCTGTAGTCAATCCTGGTTGGTCTTCAACAAGAGTTCTGCTCAGAAGTCTTTGTTGTGTTAGCCCGTTGTTAGCTAAACTAGCTAATACAGCCAATCCATTTTCTGACATGTACGTCTCTTGTCTTATTGGTTAATATGGTTTTAATCGGTCGAATATTTAGAAGATTAGTATCTTTGAAGGGCAGATGCTTAGGGTTACAACAACAGTAAAGTCCTTCTTGTACATTAGCGCATGACGAATGCTAATGGTATTATATGATGCAGCATTACAGCCACCAGTTGTGTCTAATCAATAATCAATTAACCAACAACAAACTCAGCAGTCAACAAACACGATACAAGCCACTAAGGTAGTTCGATGACATAGGAACGCCGTTGTTGATTCCAGCTTCTTTAAATCCCATTGAGCTCTGGCTGGACGTCATCAGGCGCCACGTAGATCGTTTTCATGTTTCCCGCTACGATCTAAACCCCCACGATGCTCTCTGCTTGCCAACATTGATGCACTCATTGAGCCCAAGACCACGTTTTTGTTCCACTGGAGCTCTACAACAGGGTTCATGAATGCTTACGTAGCATTGAGCAACACTTTGGACGCAGAAATAAGTTCATAATGCGCTCGTCAAGCATGTACACTAGATTGATTTTAATCGTTTTTATCGACTTGGAAAGTGTGATTTACCAACGAAAACTGCATCTGGTTGGGACTCGGTATGGGCAGATGCTAAATATTAAATGACTCGGGCAAAAAAAACCCTTGATTAAGCGCATTTTTAGTGCATCCATATGGAAAATGTGGGACAGATGATTTGACGTCGGAGCTAAACTGACCGGCGGACGACACTCTCCTCTTCAGGAAGTGTACTGTACTTCACCGGGAGCGATCTATCAGGAGGGTTTGTTAAATCGCAGAGGCCGAAAATAGAAGAGGAGGAATACACTGTATAGTACATGCCATCTTCTGCTGGAAGTCTCCCGTGTATACATACCTTGAGCCAGAGACCGGAGATGCTCTGTTTACATGCGAGCGGATCAATAGACACGGCGATTCTTCTGCAGCTCTAAGAAAAGAAGCCCGAGAGCCGGCGCCGTGTGCACCGCGGCCATGCCTAACAAAACAAAGCCAATGCAGTGAGGCCACCCCTGAACCCGGCACTCGCGCCAGCTTCAGACACCTTCAGCTAGATTATGTGGACTAACGGGCGCATGTAGGAGTCGGCTTTGTTGTCTGCTCTTTAAAATAAAGACTGGCAGCGCGCTCCAGCTTCCACGTTGATTCTCCTTCTCTTATAACCTCTTTTACTCACCGCCATCTATCATCCACCCTTTCCTCTTTTTTTTTTCTCTCCCCTCCCCACCTCCCTGTTTTTGACTTTAACATTCTCCTCGGCTTCAATATTTTCAGCATGAGCTCCTCAGAGTCTCCCTGTCACCCTCACCTCCCTCTCTCTGCACTTCCTCAGCCTCTCTCCTCGACTGACGAACTCGTTCTGACTGCAGAGTGGGGAGGAACTAAAATATAGGTTGAGGATTCCTGTAATGAAATGTTTATGGCAGGTTGTGACGACGAACGAGGGGCCTTTCAGGCTACTGTCAGCCGGTTTCGGACCACCCGCTGGCTTCAGACGCCACCGCCAAGAGGTGCAAATTACTCGTCTTTAAGGCGGCGACGCTATCGAAACCCGTTCAGCAAAGGTAATGACGGGAAAAGAGACCGAATCAACACCAAAATTACATTCCTGATCTTGAACCGCCACAACGCAGCCGTGAGGTTTAATTGCAACGCAGAGTTTCCGTTTTCTTATTTATCTGCCCAAATCTGACAAACGGTTCTGAGAGCGAAGCGCAGGCTGCTGGGAGTTGAGGAGAGGTCAATCTCGCCCCCTGCATAATCGTTGTGTTGGAGTGTCTGATTGTATTAGGGCTGAGTGAATAACAGTAGCTGGCAGAAATAGCATCATGTTTTGAACTATCAGTGCAATTCATAGCCTTGTGACTGACTCAGTTTGTATTCATTCTCCCACACTCTCCTGCAACTCCTCTTTTTTTTTTTTTTTTTCCTCCACAGCGGTTGAAGGACAAGCGCAAACATTTCAGCATGTTCTGAAATTAAGAATGGATCCATTCACTGCCCAGCTGTCATTATATCAAATTATATAAAGCGACCACACGCGCTGCGGCTCGGCGATTAGAATAGACGTAAGCGTAACGCGTCACGTTTTTTTTTAAGGAGATAACGGCGAACGTAGCCGAGTTTCCGTCGCGCTGGCATCGACCTGACAGGATCGATCAGTCAGGCCTCGCAGGTTAAAGAATAACGTCACGCATGGCTGCTAAAGTTAGCGCAGTTATAGTCGCTGATCAATCAGGCGACTAGAAAAATGAATAATTTAGGTGATTTGTCAAGAAAAAATGTCAGAATTGCTGTTTCATAGCAGTGAATAACCATGAAATAATCCTGGTTTCAACACGATTCAGCAACTTCAATATGTTTTTGGGTTCTGAGAAGCCGTAATAAAACTGTATTAATCAAAAAATAAGACAGATAAACACAAAAAAAATGACATAAATAGAATTGCTCATAGATTTAATTTGGTTATAAAGACAAAGACCTAAAGAAAAAAGATTTTTGGCAAAGACGCTGATTTTAAAACTAGAACTAAAGTGTTTTAGTTCAGAAATCGTCTCTGTAGCCCAGTTAGCTTAGCATAAGGCGTAAAAAACAAGGTAAACATATCAGACAAACCTGCCTCCATAGTTCAGTAGTTAACACATGGTTGAATACATACAGAAGCTACAAGTTTAAAAATATCAGGTTGTGGTTTTACAGAGTTCACGCCTCATAAATAATCACCTGTAAAACCACAGCAGCTTTGAAAGGAGCTACGCTAGAG